TAAAGGTATTGTGTCCAACTACAAATAAAAAATATTAAAAAAAAAAAGAATACAAACAACAATAAGTGTTGGTGAGGATGTGGGGGAAAAGGCACACTCATACATTGCTGGTGGGACTACAAATTGGTGTAACCAATCTGGAAAGCAGTATGGAGATTCCTTGGAAAACTTGGAATGGAACTACCATTTGACCCAGCTATCCCTCTCCTCAGCCTACACCCAAAGGACTTAAAAACAGCATACTACAGGGACACAGCCACATCAGTGTTTATAGCAACACAATTCACAATAGCTAAAATGTGGAACCAACCTAGATGCCCTTCATTAGACGAATGGACAGAGAAACTTTGGTATATAAACACAATAGAATATTACTCAGCATTAAATGAGAATAAAATCATGGCATTTACAGGTAAATGGATGGAAATGGAGAATATTTTGCTCAGTGAAATAAGCCAATCCCCAAAAAACCAAATGCTGAATATTTTTTTTCTGATATGTGGATGCTGATCCATAATGGGTATGGTGGGGGGAACACGGGAAGATGGAGGAACTTTAGATAAGGAAGGGAAGGGAGGGGACATGGGGGTAAGAATGACAGTGGAATGAGATGGACATGATTACCCTAAGTACATGTATGAAGACATGAATGGTGTGACTCTGCTTTGTGTACAACCATAGATATGAAAAATTGTGCTCTATATATGTACTTTGAATTGACATGCATTCTGCTGTCATGTATAACAAATTAGAATAAATAAATTTTAAAAAATATAAAACAGCAATAAAACAAAAAAAATTTTTAAAGGGCTGGTGATGAAGCTCAGTGGTAGGGCACTTGCCTAGCACATTCCAGGGCCTGAACTCAATCCCCAGCATGTGTGCACACGCACGCACACAAGTAAGGACTCTTTTTAAACAAATATAACCACAATAACATCCAACCTAGAAAGATTAGTCACAATTTTAATACCAGTAAATGTCCAGTCAGTGTTTAGATTTTCCCATCATAAACATTTTTGTTTTCATTTTTCTGAATCAGAATCCAAATAAAGCCTATGTATCATATTGACATTTGGTTATGTCTCTCAAGTCTATTTAACCTAAAAAGTTCCATTCTTTTTTCTTTTGGCAACTTTCACTGTTGTTATTGTGGTTAATGAAAAGGCTCAATCCTTTGTCCTGCAGAGATTTCCACATTCTGGAAACTGTTCTGATATTTTTTTTTTCTGATTTTTATGTGGTATCAAGTTCCCCTAACATGTTCCCTAATCCTTCAAACTGGTAGTTAGAATTACATATAGAAGCAGATCTCTTTTTTTTTTTTTTTTTTGGTGGGAGGTAGGGACAAAATACTTCTGTCCTGGTTACCGTTCTTGCATAACTATTTATCCAAAAACTCAGCAGCTTAAGCAACTCTTATTTTGCTCTAAAAGTTATGGGTCAGGAATTTGAGAAGGGAGTCAGAGATGGTTGATCTCTGCTTTATGATGTCTAAGGCAGCTGGAGCTAAAACTCAAACTGTACACATTAATATCAATATTATAACTATAACAAAATATAATTTCAGATTTCTTCAGAGAGTTTTGGGATGAATGGTGCTTCCTCCGGGGCCCAAATTGATTATGCTAAAGTATCTCAGAATGTGATTGTATTTGAAGATAGGGTCTTTCTTTCTTTTAATTTGAAGATAGGATCTTTACAGAGTCAAGTTAAATGAGATCATTAGGATGGGCCTATTCTAGTAGGACTGATGTCTTTGTGGGAAGAGGAGATAAACAGACAAGCGCAGAGGAAAGACCATATGAAGACACAGGGAGAAGATGGCCCTGTATGTGCCAGGGAGAGAGGCCTCGAAAGAAACCAACCCTGCCAACACCTTGATTTTGGATTTCCAGCATCCAGAACTGTGAAGAAATAAATGTCTGGTTAAGCCTCCAAGTCTGTGGTCCTTTTTTTTAGGGCAGTCTTAGCAAACAAATCCAGTGTTCCTTTTCATCTTTAGGATGTGCTACAGAGACTTATCGAGTCAGTTTATTGAAATTTACTCGAAATAATTCCTCTGTATATAATTAAATGACTAATTCACAGTGAGATTCATTTGCTTTCAACTTTTCAGAACTTTTTGCCCCTGCTGTTATTAAATTTTGTTTTATAGTTATGTAAAGCATATATTTCATTCCAAAGTCAAATATAGGAAATAAGGCAGATTCAGAGAGTCAAGCCTTAACTTCTATTTCTCTCCCCTCACCCTATTCCTCCATTCCTCCATCTTCTTAGATATAACCATTTTTCCGGTGCAGTGGTCCACTCTTGTAATCCCAGCAGCTCAGGAGGCTGAGGCAGGAGGATAGCAAGTTCAAAGCCAACCTCAGCAACGTGGAAAGGCCCTAAGCAACTCAGTGAGAACATGTCTTAAAATAAAACATAAAAAGGGCTGGAATTGTAGCTGGTTAAGCACCCCTAGGTTCAATTTCTGGTATCCAACAACAACAACAACGAAAAGATTCTTCCTCATCCTTGATGATTCCTCCTATATGGAAGAAGCTCCTCAGGCATATGATTTCTGATCTCTCTGTACTCTCTGACTCATTCCTCCCTAGGAGAGACAGTGGTGGTGAAGATGGTGGGAGAAGATAGGAGAAGATGGTGATTTGGGGGTAGTAATGGAAATACAGAGCTTAGTCTCCCCATCCTATGGCCAGCAGCCTCCTGAGCAAGTCTGGACTCTGTTCTCCCATCTGCTATTCACAAAGATAATTTCCAATTGCAAGGCTGGCCTGAGCCAGTGTGGATATCCTACTCTCAGGGCTTACTTACCCACAAATATAAATACCCACCGAGTCCAATGCAGAGTTTTATCAGTGAAAAAGTTGATATTTTGGCCCCAAATTTATTTTTATTTCTTCTTGCCCATTCCTAATTTTTCAGAACTTGGGAGGGAAAGGATATAGACTTTTGAATCTCAAAACTATTAACTCGTTTGATCCTACCAAGAATTCCATCAGAAAAATACTCTTATTTTCTTCCCAGAAGAGGAGGCTGAGCAGTCCTCATTTGACCTTTCTGTTAAAGAACTGTAAATATTTGCTCACAGCATCAGATGAAATTAAAACACATAAGAGTGTTTGCAAACTATTAAAGCTATACATAGAGAAGACCAGAAGGGTGGTGATTCCGGCTTTGACGCCCACTGCAGTAGGACTCTGATCCTTTCCGGATTTCCAGTTCCTGCATCAGTAAAGCAAGGGGTTGAACTGGCTGACCTTTGTAGATCTTTCCTGCTCTAATGTTCTGACTGCAAATCAATGATGACTAGCCATTGACTGTTTCCTCCGGGCTTCCTGTGCCTCACTGAGGGTTTCGGATGCTGACTTCTTCTCTGAGTGAGCTCTGCTCAGTCCCTGGGGACACAAACCCCTTAGAAACTCCCCGGTTGAATGGGCTCTGCTTGGCCTTCTGAAGTTCGGTTGCGTGGTTGCTTTTTGTTACACAACATAACACAATCCCACACTTCCGTTTCTGAGTACTGATGAATACTAATCCACCCAAGACTATTGTCGTAGGGGCTCTCCCAGGCCCAGCGTCTCTGTGGGTTATCACAAGGGCCAGATGAGGGGAAAGGAAACCCGCCAGTCAGTTGTAGGGAGTTGTGGGGACTGAAGCTAATACTCTCCCATCTCTATCAGGTCAGCCTTGGGCATAAGAAATCTCAGATTCATGAATTACAGTAGATGGGGTAGAGAGAGAAGATGTGAGGGAAGGGGAGGGGGGATAGTAGGGGATAAGAAAGGTAGCAGAATACAACAGTTACTAATAGGGCAATATTATGTAAAATTGTGGATGTGTAACCGACGTGATTCTGCACTGCATTTGGGGTAAAAATTGGGAGTTCATAACCCACTTCAATCTAATGTATGAAATAAGATATGTCAAGAGCTTTGTAATGTTGTGAACAACAAATAAAAAATAAAATTAAATTAAAAAAAGGAAAAAAAAATCTCAGATTCAGGCTCAGTACTAAGAGACTGATTCAAAACCATGAGTTCATGGTAATTTGGGAACAGACATCGCTGCTGCTTGCTGATTCAGTTGGAAAAACCTGTCCTTTGAAAACTACTGGCATCAGGAAGTTTAATTTAATTACCAGGTTATGGGGTTGACAAAGACCTAGGAGCGGGCCTTTGGCAAGTTTCAGCTGATTCTGAAACTGAGTGGTTTCACACCGGAACACAGCAAAATAGACAAGAACAGGAAGTGGAAAAAACATTTTGACCTAGTGGAAACTACCTTTTGTTCACCTGCATTCCTCCAAAACAGCAGTCAAATTAGCCCAGAAACCTACCCTTCTAGGGAGTCTCCCCAGATGGTGTGTCCCCCAAAGGGACTTTGTCGATGAATTTTATGCTCCAGTTACTCAGAAGAGAGTTCTAAAGGCACTGGTAGGGGAACTTGAGGTTGTTTCCCTGTCTTCACAACAAAATAGCTCACTCTCTCTTGCATGCCCTGGAAGAAAGAAACTGCATGGGGGTGGGGAAACAAGTCCAGACCCAGGGCAAAGTTCTGAACCAGTGCAAGAAAAATCTTCAAATGCAATTGCTGGAATAGCTTCTCCATATGGAGGGACAGAGAGGTGAGTTGGCTCTGGCCAAGGAGGGTCAGAGAGATAAATACATGTTTTGAAAGTGCAAAAGGGGGTGTGTATGGCAGAGTGTACCAGAGGGGAAAGACAAGCAGCCAGGATAAGAACTCCTCTGGACTTCTAACCCTTTGCCCTCACAGCACCTGCTCCACCAGCACCAGCAGACACTTCCTCACTTAGGTGGGGGAGGGCTGCTATGCCCCTTGGTGGCTTTGTTCCCAGAATGGAAAATGTGGGTGTTGACAACCATATCAAAGGCCCTTTAGAAACCTTTACACCTCTGATCATCAGACCACAGAGTCCAAGGGCTGTTTAAGGCCGGTGGAAACTTAGGAAGAAAATACTTGCCTGCCACCACACACACCCACCATTTGCCTGGCTTTCCTGAAGGAAAGCTATGTTATGCTTGAGACCAATCATCAATCTAAAAGTCTTCTTCAAGAGGTTCTCACACCTTAATGTCGGTGCTGATGCCCCCACCAGTTAGAGATGGGAGCTGAAATTGCTGTACTCTGCTCTTTGGATACTAAGAGTAGAATAAGGTACAGGGTATTCAGTACTCAGTACTCAGTACTCAGAGCACAAGGTTTAAGACTCAGTAACCATGATAAATAATATTTTAATTCAATCGTTTTTAAAAGTAAAAAATCATGCAAAGTAATCTATGAGGAACCCAATATCAAAACTTTTTAAAGATTGCAATAAGCTTATTATTTATCTTTCCTAAGTTTTGTTCCCCGATTAGATTCTACACTCAGGGTAAGTACCTCATGGACTCACCCCCTAATGGTATGTTATGAAATGGTGTCAATCACAAATACTCAGAAATGACATGGAAAAGCCCACAATGATTCACCAGAAGGTAAGGGGCCTCCAAAAGGGAAATGTGGCCCAGATGACCTAGGTCTTGTTTCTTAGCTAGATGCTGAAGGAAAGCCACCTCCAGGAACCTCAGTACAGCCTTCATAAAACCTTCTGCAGGGAGCTGGGCAGATATTAGGAGGAGTGGTTGCCCATATGTCAGGACTGAAAGAAAGGGCTCCTTTTCCCTTTGGGTTCCTTCCACGTACACCATCAGTAGATTAATCAATCCTTTGGCTCTAGTAGTTGTGTTGGTTTTAAAGAATCTTCCATTAAAAGATTTAACTACTATTGGTAGAAATCTTAGCAGGGACACACTTTTTCATTAATTCCACAAACACTGACAGACGATCACACATCAGGACTGTGGAACAGTAGCATCTACCCTGCCCAATTTGGTGGGGGTAACAAATAGAAATGTCAGCTTAGGGCAGGATGGCAGAAGAGCTCCTCATTCATTTCAGACCTCCTTCAAACTATGACTGCAACTGAGGAAGAGCAGGTTCAAAGCAAGATCCTGCCTGGGGTTACTTGAAAGAGAAGCAGGAAGAGATGGAGAGAGCTCTGAGAAGACTCTTCCCTCATTTCTCAGATTAGCCTGGCACCATAGGTCTAGAGGAGGCAGCCGCAATTGGTTTGGATTCACAGAGGTCTTATTGTACAACTCCAAGGGACGCCATTTTCACAGAATGCAACGCACCACTCAGAGGCATTGGACAGGATCAGGAAAGTTCTGTCTTGATGAAGACAATCTCTGGGGGTAAAAGGGACCAGAGGGGAGTGTGGAGGTGTTTGTCCTTGAGGGTATGCAGCTGAGCACTTGGGGGTCTGTGGGTGGGACCCTGACCCTTGCAGGGTGGGAAGGGAAGCCCAGTTGGATCTCACTTATGGACCTCTGCCCAGGGAAGGCCTGACATTAATAGAGTTGATTGAGTTTTGTAACCCCAGCCTAGCCTGTTCAATGACAGAAGCACTGTGACCCAAGAGAAGCAGCCTTCCTGGGAAGATGAGCCATCCCGCTCAGTCTGTCTTTGATGTGTTTACTAGGGGAGTTGGCCTGAGAGGTAATCATTAATTTAGTTCCTGGGAAATGAAAAAGAGAAGGAAGGACAAGAATGTTTCTAGAACCTGATACTTCTCCTTTTAAACAAATAAACATTTATGTAGCACTTCTATAAAATTATCCTATTTCCTTTTTCATTACAAATCTTTCTTTTTTCTTTTTTTGTACTGGGGATTAAACTCAGAGGCATTCAACCACTGAGCCACATCCCCAGCCCTTTTTATATATTATTTAGAGACAGGGTCTCCCTGAGTTGCTTAGTGCCTCCCTAAGTTGCTGAGGCTGGCTTTGAACTCGAGATCCTCCCACCTCAGCCTCCCAAATCGGTGGATTACAGGCATGCACCACCACGCCCAGCTTTCATTACAACTCTTTTATGAGAGTTTCCTGCTTTTCAGCTGAGGAAACTGAGTCCCAGCAGGTGACATAACTTCCAGATACGCACTCAGAAAATGGAAAATCTAGGATGGCACATCACATCTGTGCCCCTTTTCTGTGCTCCTAAGGTTCTGAGCACAGAATACACTGCGCCTATGCCTCCTGCCAGACCCCCAGATTCATCCTTTCTTTCTCTTCCTCACGGCTCCTCACAGACCAGAAGGAGATCACTTCTACCAGTGTGAGTCAGTTTTCCATCAATGGAATAAAATACCTGAGACAAATCAACTTATAAAGAAGAAAGTCATTTCCTGGCTCACAGTCTTAGAGGTTTTAGTCCACAGTTGCTTGAGTCTGTTTCGGGGCCTGTGGTGGCATAGCACATCATGGCAAGGAGTGGGTGGTAGAGCCAACCTGTTCACCTCATGGTGACAGGGAAGCAAAGAGAGAAAGCGGGAGGGGCCCTCTCATATCCCCTTCAAGGCTCCACTCCCAGTGACCCAACTTCCTTCTACTAGGCACCCCCTCTCCCACTAGCACCACAACCAAACCTTTGGCAACCAAGTTGTCAACCAAGCCTGTAACACCTGGACTTTTGGAGATCACTCAATATCCAAACCCCCTCACCACCTAAAAAGAGATCTCAAATCTCTTCCTTTTACTCTTTTTTTGGGGGGTGGGGGGTTACCAGGTATTGAACTCAGGGACACTTGACCACTGAGCCACATTCCCAGCCCTATTTTGTATTTTATTTAGAAACAGGATCTCACTGAGTTGCTTAGCTCCTTGCTTTTGCTGAGGTTGACTTTGAACGTGAGACCCTCCTGTCTCAGCCTGTCAAGCCACTAGGATTATAGGCATGTACCACCGCGCCCGGCCATCTCTTCCTTTTTCTCTGTCTACAGCCATCATTCTATCCTCATCACTCACTTCCATGCAGATTTCTCTGTTATAACTTTTGCATCCTCTTGGATTTCTTCTCTTCTTTTTTACCTTGAGCAAGTTTCTTAACTTCTCAGGGCCTGAGCATATAATAGACAGGAGAAGAGCATCATTCCTCAGGTTGTATCAAGGGTTAGGATGCTGTGCCTAGAGCAGGGCCTCCCTAAACTGATCTAGAATAAACCACTGTGGCATAATAATAATTCTGAGCCAAAGACCTTTGAGTTCCTGAAATCCTTTAACTGCCTAGAAGCAGAGCCTCACAAAATAATGCAATTGTCATAAATCCCTCCCCTTAATCTCTGCTAGACAGAGAAGGAAGTTGGCACCACATCCAAACAGATATTGTCACAGAACTATCAGATCTCTTATCTATTCTCCTGAGGGCCCATTTATCTTTCCAACAAGTAATTTTTT